GATATTATCACGTCCTACACCGTCCATAAGATGGGGGGCCACCTCCCATTTCATCACTCCTCAAACACCCGAGGAGCCGGCAGGCGGATTTGAACCCGGGTCGACTGGGTCGACTGGGAGCAGAAGTCAGGCCTTAACCTCTGCCAGCCGCCTGCCATAACAGATCGTCACCAGGGGTTCGCACGTGGTCCCCCACCGTACTACTGATCTGGCCCAATGTTGCTTATGTGCCCAGTGCTGATGGGATGGGCAGTGTTCAACACCTATGCATGTGCTCTATCCATCTAGTTCGTTGTTTGACATGCCCAAAGAGTGTGTGTGTGTGTGTTGGTTGGTTGGTTGGTTGCAGGTCCAGGTGTATGTCCTAGGTATTGTGCGCTCTGTCACATGCCAACGACACCCAGGCAGGAAGGGAGGAATGATCTGTTAAAGAGAACTCGGGAATAAACAGCAGGGAGCACCAAACACTCGCTGGGTTGGTATAAATGTATCCAGCAGAGGCACACACACACACACACATACACACACACACACACACAACACAAGAAAAACAATCCACTGGATCATTTGTGCTATATAGTTGTTCCCCCTTCTGCCCGTATTAAGGTATTACTACTCGTTTTTCCTTGATGTAGCCAGCACTGAAACGGCACCATGCATGTTTGGCTTTACGACATAGTTTATAAGCTAGTTGCTATTCTGGGGATGCGAGCATCAAAGGTACGACATGGGTGTGTCGGTGGCCCTACGGCCCTACAATAGTCACGATTGCCACCTCGAGCTCGTCAGGAATATGTTGTCAACATGGCCCTCTATACACAGCATGCACATGCTACCATGCCATACCACATCCTTGGATACCAGGTGTGATACCAGGTTTCGGTTTCATCTTTTGATGTTTTATGGATATGTATCCAGGCAAGCATGCGCAAATAGGTGTCCTTGAAGAGGTGGTGAACACAAAGTGTTCTAGGATGGTGGTTCAGCGAAACCACCATGAAGAACCTCGGTCGTGGAGATGAAAACCGCCGACACGGGGAATCGAACCCCGGCCTCCCGCGTTCCGTGTCTTGGCTCGAGTCCTGACAGGCGGGGATACTGACCACTATACGATGTCGACCCTCTGTGACGTGCCTACTTCAGCTCGACTCCATGACTCATCCTTTCGCTACCGGGACTCGAACCCGGGTCTCGGGAGTGAGAATCTCGCATCCTAACCGCCTAGACTATAGCGAAGGATTGAATACACACACCTCTTCCAAGAGATGCTTTGAAGGCCTCCTGTCGGGACCAGCAAGGACCACAGCATCCACACCAAATGCTTGCCCATGCATCCGTGATAAATGGATGCTGCAGAGATTCTGTAAAGAATCCGCAACTCTTTGCTAATAATAATCGTAACCTGCATGCATAATATGTGTGAATTACGGTGTGCATCAGCGATGAAAGGGTTGAGAGTCGCTAGTAGTCAACAGTTATTTTAATCTGTATATGCACCGGCAGCCCCTATATCCGTGTTGCCTAACTACCGACATCATCCACCAGTACTGGAACACGGTTTCGATGTTTGTTCGACCAACTCACATTCCAGCACCCTATTAGAAGTCATCCGCCCCACTTTTCAAGTTTTTTGGACAGTTTACCATGATACATGGCCAGATAGAAAGCTGGCTAATGTCAGTTGCATTTGCAGGACCATTTTTGCTCCATGCCAGATTTGAACCT